TCTCAGCTTCAGGGTGTCTGAGCTATTTGGTCAGTCAGTGATTCCCGTTGTGTTTGGCGAGTTTCATCAAACCCTCCTGGGTGGTTTGAGCCTGTATGGCCACTTCTCGCTTATATTATGAGCCAGCATGATAAAACTAACTTGTTGGCTAGTTTCTAGGTCCGTTAAACCGTCCATATCTAGTTAAACACGCATCAGACACGCTGTCGAAGCGGCAAATTAGAAAAGGAAAGGAAAAGAAAGGGACTAGTCTGCCAATTTAGTTGCCAATATGTCCTCTACCGAAGACCCAGTTCCTGTTGCGGCTGAGGAGGCTGTGGACACGGTTGTTTCTACCGAAGAACAACCGGTCACCGATCAAGAAGAAGCTCAACAATCTGTTACAGAATCAATGGGGTCTCCCACAAGGGACACACCATCTGGAAAAGAAGAGCCGGTTACGTCTCCAGCACGGAGCCAGGCATCTTCAACAGGCCAAAAACGCTCCTTAATCGCTGGCGGCCCAAAGCGTCCAGGCGGTGTCTCTACGCGAACTACGAAACCGTCCGCTGCAACAACTGGTAGGTCAACTTCGGGGAGCACTCTCAGCAAACCCCCAATTAGACCTGCGGCCAATACTGCCGCCAGAAAAACTCCAGGCTCTACGACTCTTGGCGGGGCCGCAAGTACTACCCGTGCATCACGCATGTCCATCGGTAGCTCGGCTGATGAACGAGCCAAAGCTGTTGCTAGCTCTGGTGACGAGTCTCGAAAGAGCGGAATTTCAGGAACTGCAAAACGCACTTCAATGTCCGGAACACTGGGCTCGAGGACTGCTACTACTGCAAGGCAGTCTACCACTCCTGCGGATAGAAGGTCTTCCATAACACCTGCGACAGAGAGAAAACCGGCAACCTCCCGCCCCTCAACTGCATCCTCGCAAACGCCAACTAAACCTGCTGTAAGATCCACCCCGGCAGCCTCTACAACTCCGCGAACCAATAGAACCATTCCTACTTCTGCCAAAGCCCCGTCTAGTACGGATGCTGCAAAGAGACGTATCGGGGCGCCGGGTTCACCCGCTGTTACCAGGCGGACTGCCGGAGCTCCTACGCTGGATGAAGGGGCAGAGAATGACAAAATGGCTGAATTGGAATCCCAACTTGCCGCCAGTGAAGCGAAGCTTACTGAAGCTCAAGACAAGATCTCAGAGCTTGAGAAATCCGGTGAAGATAGTTCCAAACATGAGGAGTTGGCGGAGTCTTACTCCCAGGAGATCAAGACCTTGCAGGGTAAACTGGAGGAAACGGAAGCCAAGTACCAGGATGCAGTCGAGCGATCTGTCAAAGAATTGGAAGAAGCCAAGCGTGAGGCTGCCGATTTGGGGGAGTCTAAGAGCACCGAAGCACTTAACCTGCAACGCAAGGAGCACGAGGCCGCCGTTCAAAGTCTAGAGGCCGAACTTGCTACCAAACATAAAGCTATCTCTGAGTTAACTAGTAAGGTTGATGCCTTGAATAAGGATCTAGATGAGGCAACCAAAAATGTTGAGCAACTGAAGGAGGCTGAGAAGGAAGCCACGGAGGCTCTTCAGCTGAAAGTAAACGCTCTGGAAGAACAGTTGAACTCTAGTAAGAAGGAATTAGAGTCTGCCCAAGAATCGTCTACCCAAAGCGTTACTGCCCTGGAGGAAAAGGTTTCCAGTCTTGAGAAGCAGCTGGAGGAAGCTCGATCAGAGGCCGAAAAAGGGTCCGCTGATTCAACCAAAGCATCACTTGAGAAAGAGGAAGAAATCAAGAAACTGAATTCAGAAATTCAGTCCCTACAAGATGACATTACCAAGTCTCGACAAGCCAAAGCTGATGAGCTCGAGAAACAGAAAGCTGAATTGACAGCTGAACACGGCCGTGCCCTGGCTGAGATGGTAGCAGGTCATGATGCTGCCCTTGCAAAACTGGCTGCTGAGCATAACACAGAGAGAAGTGAGGCGGAGACAGAAATAAAAGCGGCAAAGTCAGCTTCGGAGCAAGAAATCCAGAGCTTGACAGAGAAACACGAAGCGGCTATTGCGGAGATTAACAAAATGGTGGAGAAACTGACTGCTGAAAATACTAGTCTCAGCAGCCAGGTGGAAACTTCTCAGTCATCTTTCGATACCGAGATTCAAAGCCTCAAGGCTCAACTTTCTAAAGCTGAAGAAGCCCTTGCCAACGAGAAGGTTAATGCCGAGAAACGGAGTGCTGATGAGACGGCGGCATCCGCTGAGATTGAGTCCCTCAAAACCACCATTCAGGGTCTTGAAGCGGAGCTTGCACAGCAGAAGTCTGTTGTTGAGACTTTGACAGCAGATGTTGAGGCTAAAAAGGCTCAAGTTGCAGTTTTGCAGAAAGCTCTTGAAGCATTTGAAGCCGATAGCAAGAACAAAGATGAGCACAATGTCAACATGAACAAGAAGCTCAGCACCGAGATCGAGAACTTGAATAAGTCACTAGAAGAAAAGACCCAAGAAATCAACTCTACCAAGGAGCAGCACTCTGAGGCTCTCGAGGCCATGAAAACCTCCCATGCGGCTGAAATTGCCAAACATGAATCGGATACAGTTGCATTGCAAGAAAAGCTCAAGACATTACAAGAGGAACAAGAGACCCTCCGGACAGCGAAGGAAGAAGCTGAAGCCGAGCATAAAGCTAAGATTGAAGCACTCCAAACTGACCATGCTCAACAGATCGAAGAGCATTCCGCCAAATTTGCAGCTCTATCTGAATCACACAAAGCAAACGAGTCTTCGACCAAGGAGCTCGAGGATTCTCACGCGAAGCTAAAGGAAGAGTTTGAGAAAACTCTGGCAAAGACCAAGGAAGATTTAGAATCTACCCACTCGAAGGGAGTTGAGGAGCTTCTGGCTGCTCATGAGGAGAAACTTAACAACCTAAGATCCGAATATGAAGCCAGTTCTCCGGAGAAGCTTTCTGCCGCAGAGAAGAATCACTCAGAGATTGTTGCTAAACTTCAAGCGGACCTTGAAAAGGCTAAGGAAGCTGCTGCTGACACTACTTCCCTTGATTCTTTGAAGGCAGAAATAGAGGAGTTGAAAGCTAGCCACGCTTCACAGGTGGAAACCCTTGCGAAGGAAAAAGCAGAGCTGGAGACACGTATTGATGCTGCAGGAAACTCTGCCAAAGATGCGGAAGCAGCTCGAGAAGAGTTGATTGCTAAGCATGCTGAAGAACTCAAGGCAGCTCAAGCCGACGCCACGAAGAATAGTGATGCTCATGCTGCTGCGTTGAAAGAAATCAGTCAGCTTAAAGATGCAGCTTCTGAGGCGCAGACCAATTCCCAAGAGGTAGAGAAGAAATACTCCCAACTTGAGAGCGATATGGCTGCTTTAAGTGAGAAGAATATGGAGATGGTGGAGAAGATCCAGGAATACGAAGCATCTGTCGCCAAAGCAAATAGGAAAATCCGTGAACTTGAATTTGATCTTAAAGACGCACAGAAAACGGCCTCCCCAACCTCCAATGGAACTACCAATGGGAAATCCGGCCTAGGAGCAAGCAAGTGGGCTACAACGGAAGAAGAGACGCAGCCTACCAAGGATGAGACAGATGGCAAGCCAGAGGACTCTGTTCCATCTGCCACGGAAGGTGAGAAGCTTAGCTCTTCTATCGCGGGGACGGTGCGCGCACCTCATTTCCTATCCTTAGTTACAAGCCCTTATCCTCTTTTTTGGGGGTTCGGGCTTCTATGCCTAATCCTACCGTGGAGCCATTTGGGACTGCCTAATTTTACCCTACCGCGCGGATTACGCACTATTTATCGAAGGTTTTGCTGACTATGATATCCCTACGTATATAGGTGGCGAGCATCCAGGAGCAACTGCGACAGCTTGAGGACATGAGCGGTGACATGGTGGAAGACCGTGAAAAGTAAGTGAACTTTATTCCTGGGTCCTTCATCATTCTCTTACTTATGTTTTACATATAGGATTGCAAATGTCCTTGCGCAGGCCAGCCTGAAGGGAGAGTCTGGCTCTCCTAATCCTACTTTACCAGGGCCCAATGACAATTCCAGCGAAGCCTTGTCTGCGTAATGGCTGCATATCATGAGCTTTCCGATGCCTTTGATTGGCCGTGTTTTCATTTCAGCTACATACCTCTTCACTCGTCCGTTTCACTATAATATACTGTGTGAGAGATTCCCTTTGTTATGAGATACCTACTCCCTTTCCCTGTATCTTGATTGACCCTCCCTCATTATTACTTGTTCAATAATAAAACTTCCTCGAATAATACACTACTATGGCCATATATCCATTCACCCAGCTGCCCCCTTTTTCCGAATACAATTCCTACCTTCTGTTTATACATTTTTATCCTTCGTATCTGCCAGATGTTGCATACTCCACATAGCTCTGTCGCTATCAATTTGTGAGATATATGTACATGTCATGAATTCTGCTATTCTCGACATGTTATCTACGTGCAGATCTCCATACGAATAGGAACGATGTAAAGTAGAAGTCAGAGTCAATGTCACCAATGAATATTTGCCTCGGCTTAGCGCAGGTTCTATTGGTGGAACCTTCAGGCTGCCGGCCGTCCATTCCTGTCCACCAATGGCAGGATCACGGAACAATGAAAGCGCGAAATCCGAAACCTTAATATATTTTCCCGATAGCTGTTGGGCTATAGAGACGTGATATTATAACAACGTCTTGCATAGTCACCATAGACGAAAGCAGGAGAACGAGCAGCGATGGACAGCTGCCAGTGGATCGTATTCGCCAAGTAGTGTGTGCATAAGTGTATCCTGGCTTAACCGGTTGTGGTCCTGACGCCCTAATGAACGAAAACGACAAGAATTCATCTGTCCGGAGTGTATGTCCCGGCTGAGCAGATATGGCAAAGAAAAGTCATTCACCTGCCACTCACCGGGCCCGACGAGGTGGACTTAGACGAAGGATTTCGTCGCCGGGCTCTCCGGAAAATGAAAATGACGACATACCCGAGATCTATCAGGAAATGCTGAATGAGTCCCAGGTCTTACCCCAAGCCTTACCCCATAGGAACAACCCACCTCATAAACGACGGAGGATAGGGGAACGTGGGGAGATCAAAGCTGTTGAGGGCACAAGCCAGTCTGAAGAAGAGAAAGAAAAGACTGCGGCCATGCCCCCGCAAACGGTCTACGATCTTGATGCCTCTGAGGAAGAATCAGAACCTGAGTGGGAGGATGTTAGCCTGCCTGGTCCTTCCACCACATCTATTTTACCTTCAATACTTCCAGCAGGACATGATATAGATCAGGAGCCGTTGCAGATTACCCTTGGAAAGGAAGCAGCGGACCAAGGAAAGAAAGGGGGCGTTATCCGACGGAAACCTGTAACTGGAGCTGAAAAGAAGCTGCGCTTGGAAATACATAAAGTTCATGTCCTTTGTCTTCTTGGCCATATTCGACTTCGGAACACTTGGTGTAATGATGAGGAGACCCAGGTTCGTACCATCCCTTATATGTGGTGTTACGCTTGCTAATATTATTTTTGCAATAGAAAAAACTGCGCCGGATACTTTCAAAACGTATCATCATGTGCCTGAACCCTAAAGAGGATCTTCCGCAGTTCACCCGGTCTACTACATTTGCGGATGGCCTTTTACAATCGTCAGAAGCCTTTCGGCGAAGATTCAGAGTTACAGGACCCGGGATGAGGAGGCCATACTGGCTGGAGGATTGCTCCGCCGCTCAGGATCCAACTGTCTGATTTGCCTCTTTCCTTTGAAAAAAACGTTACTTTGATGATTTAATCCTGCATAACTAACACTCTAACACTCAAGAACAGGCCTTGCAAGGGAGTACCGAAATATTACAGTCAAAAGTTGACTTTCGGAAACATGCTGAGATAATGCAAGGTTCGAGAGACTTTGGTGCCCAGCTATTCTGTGCTATGCTGAGAGGAGTGGGTGTTGATACACGCTTGGTTTGTTCCCTTCAGACTCTGCCATTTACTGGCGTGGCCAAAGGAGAGTCTCCCAAAAAGCGAACAAAAGGATACATAGTCGTATCTGAAGATGATGATTCAAGTTCTAGCGTAACTGCAGCAGCAAAAGTTGCTACTACAAATACGACTACTCATCGAAGGATCGGGCAACCGCAATTCTCATCAAGACATGCAAGAAGCCCTGTACCACAGACAAGAGGTGAGGAATCGGGCCCGTCTTTCCCTTCACTCCGAAATAAGTTAATAGCTAATTTCTCCCCTAGACGATTCACCACACTCTGACTCTCCATTTCCAGTTTTCTGGGTTGAAGTATTTAATCATGCAATGCAGAAATGGGTATGTGTTGATCCGCTGGTTACAAATACCGTGGGGAAACCTGCGCTATTTGAACCACCCGCAAGTGATAAATACAATAACATGAATTACGTAATTGCGTTCAATGAAGATGGTTTCGCCCGAGATGTCACCCGGCGATACGTGAAGTCGTTCAACTCAAAAACAAGAAAAGCCCGAGTTGAATCTACCAAAGAAGGAGAAAAATGGTGGAACCATACCATGCACGCGCTTGAGTCACCAATCCCAGAGGACCGGGACCAACTAGAGCTTGGAGAATTGACAGCCAAGGCGGCAAGTGAAGGTATGCCTAAGAGTGTGCAGGACTTCAAAAATCACCCTGTATATGCTCTAGAACAGCATCTGCGGTGGAATGAGGTTATATATCCAAAGCGGGAGATTGGAAAAGTTGGGCTGAGTAAGCTATCACTGAACAAGAAAGCTCCGCCGTTGGAATCTGTATACCGCCGGACAGATGTACATTCCGTCAAGAGTGCGGATGGCTGGTACCGACAGGGGCGTAAAGTCAAGGCTGGAGAACAGCCGCTGAAGAGAGTCAAAGCGCGAGGCCAAATGCGCCAGCATATCTTCAACCCTGATGAAGAAGCCCCTGAGACACCCATGTATGCCGCCTATCAGACAGAGCTCTATATTCCAGAGCCAGTCCTTGACGGGAAGGTACCAAGAAATGAGTATGGGAATATTGATGTATATATACCTTCTATGGTCCCGCGGGGGGGATTCCACCTCAGACATCCGGATGCTGCTGAAGCAGCTAAGTTATTACGCATTGATTATGCTGATGCAGTTGTTGGCTTCAAGTTCAAAAAGCGACACGGTACAGCTGTCATAGACGGAATTGTTGCTGCCACTGAGTACCGAGAAGCTCTCGAAGCCATTATTTCGGGCATTAACGATGAAAGGCAACAGGCTGAAGAAACCCGCCGGACTATGGCTGCTCTTCACATGTGGAAACTGTTTTTGATCAAGCTCCGAGTCCTTGAGCGGGTGAACAGTTACAGAGTTGAAGGGGATGATAGTCGAGGAGACATGGTGCAAGGCGCACAAGAAGCGGAAGAACAAGGAGGCGGATTCCTACCCGAAAATGACCCTGTTGGCCAGATGATATCTTCTGCCAACGACTCTATAGACGACCCGTACATCCTGTATGAATCGGTAGAAACCAGCGGGAATTTAGAGGAAAGCATTGGTGGTGGCTTTTTGCCGGAACCGGAAATACCACAGCAAACCTCTACAGGGGATATGGCTCATGGGTTCTTGCGGGAAAGAGAACCTGTAGTGTCTGCCTCTCATCCTCGATATACTCTAGCTGTCGTTCCTGAACAAGACCACACCCGGCGACACCTGTCTGTCATTTCGACCGGGCCTGAACGGCAAGATAACGTGGAACCTGGAAGCTCTCAACCTGCAGATGGTACCCGCTCAGCTCCTATGACAGTTGATTCCCCTGAAAGAGAGGTCTCGGGACTGCCTGAGCTAGTACATGTCGATTCTGACAGCGATATAGACCGCAGCTCCATGATATCTCACGACCCCGAGGATGATGATGCGGAGCCAGAGTGGCTGCTGTCTGATTAACGTCTCACGAACCACTATTTATCTAGAGTGACATCCCCTGAGACTGTACATCAATATTGTACAATTCCGAATTACGTGCCCGCGTAGTTTG